ATTGGCCTAAACTGCTCTGTGGCCATTCCAGCTTACTAATTAAATACGCTCTCACAGCCATAATAAAAATTCTGGGAAACCTCTGGCTGGAGAGCAGACTTCTCAGGAGGGGAGCGAAAGTCAGCAAAAAACTTCATTCAGAAGGAAAACACTAACAAATTTTTTTTAACGTGCTCCAGATTTTTCTAACTCAGTGACACCAACTGTGCCTTTTACAATTTTTTTTTTTTTGGTCTGTTTTTTTCCTTTCAGATGATGTTTATTTGCTGGAGAGTTTGTATACCAACCAAACACAACCAACAAACAACCTGTCCATTTCAAAATACAGTCAGGTTTTTATGCTGCTTATTTTTTTTAAACCAACAAAGGTAGGATTGGTGTTACATAGATCAGCTTCACATTACACCACATCTAATTTGTTTATGAAAGAGCAAAACTTAAAGCATGTTGTGATATACACAATATCTACTATATTTCAGGGTTTAAGGAAAAAACAAATAGAAAGTTTAAAAGAAGCAGCAAACAGAAAAAAAAAAAGGCATGCAAATGTAATTTAAAGCAAAATAAGAGTAACTTGATTCAGCATCTCTGGATCCAAACTTTTTCCCCTCTCCTCATGTTCACGTATGTTCAATATTTCTGAAGGACAGGGGAATACAGTGAATACTCCTCAGAGAGGGGAAAACAAGAAAGAGAGCAGGGGAGGAAAAAAAAGTCCAGCACATGGTTTTCCCCACTACTCTGCTGAATGAACAGGGAGCAGATTCCCAGCTGGCACACACTGTGAGCGCTGCACAAGTCAATGGAGCCATGTCAACCGATACCACTCAACTGCATTATCCGCTGAGCTCCGTGTAAACAAACAGGAGCAGATCCCGAATATTTGTGAGAATACATCATGTTACTGTCTCCATATGTTTGAACATTTTAGTAGAAGGCACATATGGACCGCTCTTCCCACTCACTGTCATTCCCTCCCTCCCGCTCCTCACACACCGGGTATCTTTTCGGGCCATTGTCAAACCAATTCAGAAAGGAATGGGGATACATTTTCATTAAAAACACTTTGTGCTCAGCTGCCATCTGCTTCTTTATCAGCCTCCAAATCCTCACATGCCTTTGCCATGGTCCTCAGTTTCACACATTGGGAAGCTGAAGTTTTCTCCTGTGGTTCTGGAAGCAGGGTCTACGTGAGCTATTGTTTCTCATGTCACATTCGTATGTTCTGAACCAAGTGCTCACGGCCCCAACCCATGTTCTCTCTACAAGGCCAATTTACACCTCCTTTTTTTTAATGCCAGCGGCAAATCTAATCTTAAAACTCCCTCACGCTCTTCAGATACTCACCATCATTGCTTTTACAGGAAGCATGGCTATTCCACCCCCTTTGGGGAATAGGGGAGCTATAATTTGCTCTCTCACAAGGGCAGAATCCAGACTGTGCTCTCATTGCCTCACACAAGAAGCAGCAGCTGAACTCAGTATCCCCCTTCCTCACAGATACCTGTGTCCCCCCAGAACCAGATCCCTCATCTTTCTTTTCTCTGAGTATTAAAGGAAGCATTTCAGCTAATACTCGACAGAGAGCATCTCCAACTTAATTATCTGTCCACTGTCCCCCCAGTTCAGGTGAAGTTTAAAAGACACAACAAAAAACCCCCACCCGAACACCGTATATCACATGTACAGCTAACTGCTGGGTTTGCTATTACTTTCCCAAATAAGGAGTTTACCCAGTTCACTTCTTATGGCCCCAGCAATCCCAGAAGTGTTTTAGGAAGCGTTAGCTGGACTTGCTTGAAAAAGAGCACAAGGGTTATGGTGGACAAGGGATCTTGAACTTCCAAGCAGGCTTTCAAGGGTATAATTTACAGTTGGTGTCTGCAGGCTTGGAAAGGCCTAAGTGACCAAGGGAACAGACCTCAAAACTTAGTCATCAGCAACAGGAATATAGAAAACAACCCAAGTTTTCTTTACAGCAGACCACTGGACAGGCAAAGCGAATGTGTCATCAGACACAGTTTTTCTGGTTCTCACACCAATCCCTGAGCAAGGTGCAGGCAGCTTCCAGAAGCCTTTCCAGCAGCCACAACTGCCAGAAAAAAAGAAAAACACAGAAGGCCATAATCTTATTTGTCTGTCTGGACGCTCAGTTTTTGTCTTTTCCATCTCCACCTGTGCCCCAAAGCACAACTCCTGCTGCAAACAAACAACTTCAGTCCTCTCCTTTTATCTTGAAGGGTTCTTCTACGTGGACCTGCAGCTCCAGGGAGGTACAGCTGGTATTTGATACACCAAAACAAAAGTAGGTGCAAGTCAGAGAGATGAGAGCGTGCCAAGCCCAACACAACGTGCTGCAGCTCCAAAGAGAGCAAACTAGTATTGCTGCTGCCTTGGGGCACTCCAAGGTAAAGGAATGTACACTACACAGAAACCAGGGCAACCAAACTGGCAGCAAAGCCGCTGACGCTTTATGCTCAACCTTAAATATAAAAAACAAATTGAAGTTACAGTTGCTTTGTGGCTCCCTCTTCTATACAAATGTCCATGGATTATTTTAAGTCAAACACAGCATATCCTTCCCTCCCTTCTCCCTCTACATTGTTCCTGCACAAGTTATATTGAAGGAAGCAGAAGCTTCTTCCTTCGTTTGTGAGCGAGAAAAAGAAGGAAAAAAACAACTTCCACTCAACGGCAAAATTAAACAGAAGCCAGGCTACTTAAAGTACCGAGTGTTCCCACACAGCATTTACCCACCAACTTCAGATCTTTCAGCGTAAAAACCTAAACAAGGACAGGAGAGATTTAATACACACTCCTCCACAGAGCCAGAGCAAAGGAAAATAAAAAGGCATGGAGGAACGCTGAGTGACAGACAACATTTTCAGCTTAACATGACTGTGACGCACAAGGAGAATGTCAGGGTTAAATTAGATACTACACTAGAAAAATATTCCCTGGAAAATAACAGAGGTGTCATATCTCTACTGGTAGGAAAATGCAGACTGAAACGCTCAGGAAGTGACAAGTCCTTGCTTCTATTCTTTTTCACGTCTGGGGTGATTTTGTACTGTAAGAGTCCTCTCCAGATCAGGAGTTCAGTGCCAAAGCACCCAAGCAATCTAACAGGAGAGACAAAAAGCTTCCTTTGGAGCAACTGCACATTTATACCTCCCTTCTTTTCCTTCAGAACAGGAGTACTTTGGGGTTGTTTTCTTTTTTAGATGAATGGCCGGCAAATTTAAAGTCCTCTTCCTCCAAGTCAGTGGCTTATCACAACAAACAAATTGAAATAGGTCCAAATTTTCTCCCTCCCTTTATTGATTAGAACTTGATAATTTCTTTATACCCTCTGCACCCTAAGATACTCTAAACCTGATGGTTTTTCCACAGTGTAATGCTCATAACAAGCCTTTCAAGGCTCGTTTCCAATACTTGCTTTCTTCTTCACAATCTCCCACAAAAGGAGATGAAAGCATATAGGGGGAAAAAAAAAAAGTTATCTACACCCTTGCCTTCAAAGTCTTGCTATCACAGTCTAACTATGACCTCATTTTATTTAAACAGATTTCTTCTCATGTGCATTTGGGATCCAAATTATTTTAACATTCCCCTAGAAGCCAAAAGGGGTTTTTTGCACATTACTTCTGTCTACTCCAAACAGCCAGAGCACACAACAGAAAGCAAGTTAAGTCCTTGTATCTCATTAAATCACTCTGGTTACATCCATTCAAACCACTGAAGGCACCGAGGGTTGCACAGGAATCACCTTGGTCACCCTCTGTAGACAACAGTTAAGTCTGTTAATGAAGACATAAATTTGGCCTGAGGAAGCCTAACATTTCACAACAACACTCCCCTCACCCTGGACAAAGCACAAAGTCTCCCAGTAACAGGCTGAGGGGGTTTTCTTGCCTTTGTTTAAAAAACGAACTTTATTTCCTGTAAGTATTGATAAAAGCACATACTCCAAATGCCTTTTTCCAGAGGTATTTTTGGCATGTGTTGACTGAAACTGCCCTACAAGCTGCTTTAATTGCAGTTCTAATTGAACACGAGGAGGGCTTCACAAGCAACTGATGAACCACTTTAGAAAAATCAACATCCCCAAATGAAGGTAACCTGAATTATACTGGTCCTGTTTTCTCTCACCCTGTGGTGTTTCCTGTCACTGTGGCAGCTTTGGTCAAGATGCCATGTGGAATTTAGGCACAGTGACGACTGCTTGTAATTAAGCCCTCCTGCTACTGCAGGGCTCAGCTTTCCTAAAGTTCCAGGATGAACTCAAAAAGCCTGCCATGGAATCGTGTTATCTGAGTAAACTATGTGCTTGTTTACTCTATTTTTAAAAAGCGAGAAGAGATCAGGTTTTGTTTTTGCTAATACTTTGCTATCAGAAAGACAAGTACAAAACAGGCAGGGATGATTTTGTCAGGAGCCACGATGTCCACTGACTCTTTGCAGACTGTACTCCACAAACTGATGCCAGTAAACAAGTTCTTAGGTACAGAATTTACCATTACAGGGATTTCAGAGGGTGCATCCAAGGGAAGAAAAGAACAGTCAAAGTCCAGTCAACAGCTCCATTACAGCAATGGCTCTGGCACGCACAGAATGTCCCTCTAGCAAGGAGGTGATGGCACTCGATGGCCACCTCCTGCCAAAGTCCTCAAGGGAGCTAAAACTGGCTCCAGCTTTGCTATAATGGCTTTAGTTCTATACTTACACTTTTCATCTTTTCCACGGGGAATTAATTCAGGGAGTTTGTTGGGTTTGGGGTTTACGGTGGTTGATTTGTTTTGTTTTGCTTTTTAAACCAAGTTAGATGAGCCTTTACAGGTTGGGGAGGAATCTATTTGTGTGGTAAGCGGGTAACTCACGTTAACTACACACAACTAGAGCAAAAGCTTCAGTTGCTAAAGAGCTTAAAATAAACCCACAAAATTAAACCTTCACTTCAAGGAGAGGTAACAAAAACACAGTAGCTACTGAGATCTTACTTTTCTGGCAGTGGTTGGTGGTCCAGCAGCGGTAGTTGTACTCATTGTTAATGGATGTCTTCTCGCACAGCGGCTTCTCTTCCATCGTTCCCGGGCACAAGTCCCCACATTCCTTTGGAGGTTTATTCCCAACGATGTAGTTATTGGACACCGCATCTAGGATGAGAGACCAGTCCACTGTGGAGAGGTAACACAGGTCCGAGTTCTTCTCAATGCGAATGGCGCCGCGGGTGATGTTCCTCAGGTTGTGGAGCCCGATCTCTTTGAGATTTGTCATTTCAAAGATCACCAAGGCATAGTTGTAGAAGAGGTTCCTGCCCCGGATGACGGTGAGGTTGGGGAAGAGATCACTGAGGCTTTCCAGGCCCGCCACACGGAACAGCAGCAGGTAGTCCGTGATGACGGTGAGCTTTGGGAAGCGGAAGTTGCGGTAATCCTCTGCCTTGGAGATGAGCAGGATCTGCAGGAACCCCTCGATCACCGTACAGTTCTCCAGGCGCTTGAGCTCGTGGATATCATTGCGAATGTCGACGTTTGGCCCGCAAACTGGGAAGGTAAGAGGAGAAAGAAAAGTTGGTAAATAAGGCATTTCCAAGCTTTTTTGAAACTGGAACACAAGCGGGATGTTCCGGCGGCCAGAAAATTTTTAACTTCTTAATTAGGTTGCAGTGTTAAAATAGAAACCGAGTGCTTGATTTACACCTGCACCTAACCTATCATGGTCTTAAGTTGTGCCAGGGGAGGTTTAGGTTAGATACTAGAAAGAATTTCTTTACAGAGAGGGTAATCAGACACTGGAATGGGCTGCCCAGGGAAGTAGTGGATTCTCCGTCCCTGGAGGTTTTTAAGATGAGACTGGATGTGGCATCAGTGCCATGGTCTAGCAACTGTGGTGGTAGTGGATCAAGGGTTGGACTTGATGATCTCAGAGGTCCCTTCTAGCCCAGCTGATTCTATGATCACCACAAGCACTGCCAAGAGCAGCACAGGGATGGCAGCTCCCTCTGTGTTCCACAGCACACAGAGAAATGCTGCTTTATTGCTGCTGTTGACAAGAGCTGCACTGAGGAACACAAAGACAAACCAAATGCATCTGCACACTCTGCTCCAAATCAGATCATGGCTCGTGAGACCTGAGCAGGGCTGCAGCCACATCACTGCAAACAGAACAGGTAATACAGAAGGTGGTTCACTGGTCATTACACTGCTAATTTACTCCCCACCCCTCTTAAGACACAAAGGGGACACTTCCCAGAAAGTTACAACTTACACCTCAAATCACTCTTTCTTCCCAGAGTCACGAGCCAAGCGAGCCCTAATTCTTGGAATACTAGTCCTGCTACAATACTAACTCCATGGAAAGCTGGTCAGCACTTCCTGCACTGGGACTGGGAAGAAAACAAAGTGCTTGGACTTGTAGCAATGCACTGAATTCCTGTTTGCATGTTCCCGTAAACCAAGTTTCACTAATTTTGGCACCAACATATAAAAAGGCTTCTTGAGTTCTAAGAAACACAGGATAAATTTGTTTACAAGAATGCACAGCATCACAGTGAGGAATTTCCCCTTGAAAACAGCAGACTGAACTCAGTGAACTCTCAAGAAAACAACGGCCAAAAGGATTTATTCCCTAATAAATCTATATATTAGGTCTTTCTGCATTAGACACATATCACAATAACAACATTAAAGGGGCTGGAAGAAGTGTGTACTAATAATGTAATAATTAGACACATAAACTGCACTTTGATGTAAAACAAAGAACTACAGAGTGTAGAGAGCTGTTGTTCTTCAAAACCCTCAGAGCCGGCCTTCTACAGAAAACATGGATAAAAAGACTCCCCATAATAGATACTAAGTTGCTTGTAAGCAAACAAAGCAAAAAGCCAATTTATTTAAGCAACCCAAAACTCAAATAAACCCGAAGCAATTCAATTTTGTGGAAAGGTTCTCTTTTAATGCATGCTAGGCTTAATTATTTTAACAACATCTTTTCCTCAGACAAGGAAAAGGTCTAAACAAGCACTGGAGCCAAAAAACTTAAATTCTAACCCAGACAAATTGTCCAGAGATTCAGAAATTGCGCTCACAATAGAAAGCAGCCCTTCCATCCCACAACACTTATCTAAGGCTAATAACTTAAGCTAACAAAGGATCCAGAACATGAGCAAGCTAAAACCACAGCAACTCTAATACCCAACAAGGACTTAAAGACTTCTAAGTCTTTAAAAGACTAAAGGACTTTCTGGTTAGTGGGACAACATAAAAAAATAAAATAGGGCGAGATCTTTGTTAGGAAACAGATGTTTCTACACAAACTATTACCTAATCTTCCTTCTGTAAAGATTCAAGCTGAAAGCAGAGGCTATTAAATGTGACTTGCTACACTGAAGCAACTATTTGCAAGAAAGTTCATTCCCCAGACCTTTAAAAAGAAAGAACAAACAACAAAACTAACGTATCAACAGTAACACTTGGTCATCATGTCCAGTGAGACAGGAAATCCCCATTTGAGCACATCCTGATTGCCAAAAAATCGCATGCTACTGCCTGGAATAAGGGGGTCAAGGCTTGAACAACTTCAGGAAAGCACTTAAAGGAGTGACTGGGTTGGTATTACCCAGCTCTAGAAGCCAGATGGAAGAGGGGGAGTTTAAAGAGCTCCAAGACAGTAGATCTGGTAAGAGACGCACTGGTTAGTGCAGAAGTGATGACTCTCTCTCTCCTGAATCTGTAGGAAAGGCAACCTCATCCCAGATTTAATTCCTTCAATGAGCTGGTCCCCACATCTTGCTTCCAACTTCTGAAATTGTCTTCCAAAGCCACCATCCCTCCACCCATCCCCAGGGACAGAGCCCTCAGCCCAAAGCACAGCCCAGCAAGGACACAGCTGTGTTGACACTCCCACATTGGGCTCCTCTTGGTTTAAAAAGGCAAGTTGGAACACACTGGGTTTTTCCCATTAAACCATTCTGGTTTCTGTCTCTACCTGCTGGCAGGACAAGGTGAACGTCACAGCTCCTGCCGCAGCAAAGCAAAAGGAGAGAAATTTATTTTCCTGCCATAAAAGTTTAGAAAGCCTGACTGCTCCAAGCCCTTTATTTTGTTAAAGAAATAAAATTTGCACTTGTGCTGACATTTTGCAGGCAAGGTTCCAGAGTGATGGGTTTAAAAACAGCTGAGTTACAATACCCTAAAGAACAATTTGTAAGAGAAATGGCAGCAACGTTAACTAAAGCATTATATATCTGTTCATGTCTCTGTTTGAGGCTGGGCTTTCAAAGTCATACTGCTTTTAGCTTTATGATTGTTTCAGCTTGAAAGTTACTTAATTTGAGATATTTAATGCTTTTTATAAATCAGGGAAATTTCTAGAGCTTTATGGCAAAAGTTTGCACTCGCTTGCCTCAGTTATGAAACCTCATCCCCTTAATATGGAGAAGGATGAAGTCCAGTGGGGTCCAACACTGGGAACTGACCACAGATGAACAGCTGCTGATGTTTTGATTTAAGAACTTATTAGTTCATTAGTTCATGAAGTGAGTTATGTTTTGCAGAACTCCACGTATATAATGAGAACTGCAGAGACCCAAACGTGAAACAGCACAAGCATCTTGGTCCATCCCGACATTTGGGAAATACAGTTCCCACTAGTGCATTTTTATTTTTTTTTTTTAAGATATGGCTTTTAAGTTCACATTGTTCACCAGAGTTAATTATACCACAATACATCATCTTTTTCTCACGTTTTTTCTCGCTGTCCTGAAAAGGATTATATGAAAAACAAATTAATCAGAGCTCAAAGTCAACTCCAATTTCCATCTGGCTGTGTTGTGTTTTCTTTGGATCCCATTTTAGAGAAAGCCTATATGGACATACAATATAAACTGGTCTGTCAGATACAATGAAGTGCACTGAAAATGCTCTTTAGAGCATTTATACTCCATTTAACAGTTTTGGATATCCCAGCTTAGAGAACTTTTTTAATACGACTGGGATAACTGGCCTTTGTTTCGTGTTCAGCTCAGAACTGGAAATTAACTACGATGTATTTATTTTGCTCACTAACAGAAAATAAAAATGCAACAGCTGTTTATTACCCTGCCCCACTAGTTCTGGGCAGATTATAAACACCCAGGATAATTACCAATAGTCAGATTCATGCTGTTTTCATTCAGCTGCTTACAGATTTCCAAGACTTTCCTTAAACTGCCTATCATTTATCAGATTTATTCGAAACTAAGCACCTAATTCTGAGTCAGAAATTGGTTCTTTAAAGACAAAAATATTTATTTGTTAAAAAGATCACTCCCCAGTACAGTAAAATACTGAAGAGAAGCAGTGCACTCTTTACCCAGATGAACACAAATGACTCCCTGGAAGAAGCTTTTTAGTGCAGAAGTCCTGAGCTTCACCTGGTATCCAACAAGAAGCCCCCACTTCTGCTCCTTTTTTCAGGGAGCATCCCATGGGCAAGCTGCAGGGCATGGAAACTTCCAAAGGTAATAGAAATAACCCACTCCACACCACAGTCTTCCAGAGGACATGCAGCCCATTCCTGGCCAGAGGATGGATCCAAGCCTGGTCACACAACTGAGATGGGGTCAATGAACTACCAGGAAAAATGACTGCACATAACAGGTTCATATGATGAGAGTAATTCCTGGTCCTCGACCTGGCAGAACCTCCTGGCAGGTCCCTGTGGAAGTGGTGCTCCAGCTGGGACAGCAGGGAGCAGGACTGTGAGCACACAGCCTCACACACCCACCCTGCACACACTGGGGACAGCCTGGGCCAGCTCCAACACACAGCTCAGAGTGCAGTGATCCAGTGGATTCCTCTCAACTTCAACTATGGTTTGCCAGTGTTTACTTGGATCATAAACCATTCTGACATGGAGAATGCACTGCCACCTGGATAAACACCTGCTATTTCATCACCACCTACTACCAAACAGTCCAGGCAGCAGCTCTTCACTCTTTACCTACATCCACTAGTTACTTCAGGTCACTAGAGACTCCTAAAAGGACTTGCCCGTTGCCCTTCAGTGTTTGGAAAGAACCCTTCTTTCTCCAAAATGTCCTGCTATGACACACAAAGCAGCAGAAAGCCTTCTGTCCAACACTCACCCTCTACCACAGCTTGTGCTTGCTACACCACCTCCCAGCTGCACCCAAATTCATCACAGCTAATTCACTATCAATACTAAGGTGTTACAGGGCAGCACTGACAGTTCACACATCCACTGTTTTTAATAAGGATTCATTTCCTACAAGAAGCTATTTCATCATGGTGCAGTCCTTGCTTCCAATTCTGTATTCATCTAAGTTACTTCATTTAGAACTTCTGAAGAAACACAACTGTTTATGTTTTTCTTTTTAAAAAAAAAAATACACTCCTTGACATTTTAAGCCTTGCCTTTGACCCTCTACTTTTTTGGATAGCATTAAAAGGCTGTAGTACACTGCACAATACCCTCTCAACCAGCCAGAAGTTAAAGGTGGAGCAACCACCACTATCTGGGCTTTCTCAACATCAGGCTCAGA